GAATTATACAAATAGCTTATCGAAATTATAAGAATAGACCCGAATCATTAGCAACCCAAGCTTGGAATGCAATGAGAGATGATGGTACTTCTAATGATGAGAAATTTCTAGGTTTAACGAGACGTAAAGTGAAAAATCCTCAGACTCGAGAACAATTTAATCAATGGCGTACTAAATGGATGGAATCTTATAAGCAATGTAATTTGAGAATTCCTTTGGATATTTATGTTAGAGAATATGAAGAATATTATATTCCAGTTAATTGGATAGATTCTAAAAAGAGTCAATTACGAGATAGATTCAGTAAGCGTCTCCAACAATTAGAAGTGTAATATATTAATACCTATCACATCTACTGTATTTATTCGATTATCAACCCCGCCTTCTCGTGACTCTATCACTCGAAGCCAGAAAAGTGGATGCAGAATGTGTTACAAACAGTAGATAACGACACGTATCTTTTTCCAAACATTTTTTTATGGCATAGCCATGAGTCTTTGACTCTACTTTGATTTTTATATGTCAACCCATTTCCATCTGACACAAAAATTCCTAGTGACGATAATAGATTGCGCTTGTTATTATTACACATCCACTCTAACTTCAAACACGGCAGGATTCGGTCAGCTCAAAAATATAAGTGGCAGATAAGATGTATTAATATTAATAGAATAAAATTACAACTGAAAAAATATTCTATTATCAAACTAACCATATAAACGCGATTTATCATAACCTATATGGATCACGGAACCCAATCTAATATTAGCTCTAGTGTCGGTTTTTTGCTTAATAGGAAGTAGATTGATTCATCAGAAATAAACGGGCATTTCTTTGCATTGAGAACTAATAAATTTGAACAGTGATGTGCAATTTCATATATCGTTTTATCAGTGATATAAATATATTGAAAACTAAGATTCTGAATGTTTGAACATGAACGGACTACACTACATATAGCATCGTCTGTAATTTTGTAACAGGAAGTGAGAATAAGCTTTTGCAGGTTTCGATTTAACTGTGCAGTTTTTTTGATTGATTTATCGGTTATCCGTTCACAGCCTTCGAGAAAATAATTTCGCATATCTGGACAGCCAGTTGCAATCGCACTTATAGCTTCATCCGTAATTATTTCATTGAACGACAAATCCAGGTGTTGAAGATTTACACATGAGCGTGCAATTGCACAAATTGATTCATCATTAATAGAAGGTTGTCCATTGAGGTTTAAATATACTATATTGGGACAAGATCGTGCTATTTCAATCACAGATGCACTGGAAATGTTACTATCTCTATACAAAGAAGCGAGACTTATGTATTTTAAATTTGGACAAAATTGTGTTATTTCACTAACGCATCTATCAGTAATAGCTGTACACGCATCAAAACTCAGATGTAGTAGCTTCGGACAATATTTTGCAATTTCTGACCCTTTAGGGGCGCCTCCTTGAGGCATAATTGGTATATTACTAAAACCATAACTTCGATCAAGAATAAGAAAGTTTATATTCGGGCATGAGCACAAAATTTCACGAAGTAATGTATCCGAGATTTTTAAACCCGCCAATTTGAGATACACCATCTTTGAGCAATAGAGAGGTTTTGTCTTTTCGCATATAACTCTTTTAAACTTTCTTAATTGCCAATAAAGAGGTCCAGATATATTTTTATTACATCGGTTCTGTTGATAACCTTCTATAGAAAACTCAATGTGTCTCCATAGAATCGAAGCACTACAGTGATACCAAAGTCTATTGACAAATAATGCTGGATAGAGTGCTTTATCCTTAGCCAAGAAACTGAATATATTTTCGAGCAACTCTGGAATAATGAGAGGGTGGGCCATGTTTATTTTTATATAAGTATTAGAAAACTCGAAGTGGTTTTTATATCTGATATCACGCTCGTGTGCGTGAAGAATTCTTCACGCCGATCACTTTCGCCAAGAAAAATTTTTGATTGTATCGATATTAATACAATAAAATAAATCCCGTAATACATATGCAAAAGTGAACATGATTAAATATGTGAAATCGAGCCACCAGGGCCGATTTATTAATGCGGTGAAAAATAAAATTGCGATCTGAGGTTGAAGAAAAGAAGATAGAATTGCAAGAGGCGGAAAAATTCTTTGCATCTCTGAAATCTCGCTCTATTGTGAATCAATGGCTCTTCGAACCTACTCATTAGAAAGATCAAGTGCTTGGTCCCAACCTTTTCTGATATATAGAGGGTCTTCTTTTGCCCTAGTCCGGTCAATCACAATAAATTCCCGACCCTGTAAATTTTTATCAAGTATATCAACAACATTACGCCAGTTTTTTGTGTATCGCCGGGCAATATTTACTAGCTCATCATATGTTCCCGAACCATTAAAGAGTACAATATAATCAAGATTGTTTCTTATTAACTTCGGGCAATCAAAGAAGCTTTGTGTCACATATATCGAACTGATATTTTTATGCTTTCCCTCAGTAAAATAACATGCTATTTTATCTTGTATTTTTTTAGGTTCTGTACATACATCTTCGAATACAGC